CTCCTAAAGTGCTGCTATTGCCAGTATCACTCCACCCCCTGTTAACAATAGGTGTTAATGTGATGTGAGTATCAGTCACATGGAGGCCTGAATTTAAAAGCCTGAATTTTGCCTGAAACTCTCAGACTGAAGAAGTCTCTTGGAGGAGAGACGAAACGTTTCATTAGAGAAGAACCCGTCCAGAAGACCTATACAATTTTTTTCTTTTTGATTTTTTTACCTGGATTACTGAGATGCATCAGGACGTCTTACATAGTATATAAATTGTACTCTGAACATCTCTGCTACACAACGCTTTGTTTATCCAGACTAGACATTTCTCCCCTTAAGCTGGTATAAAATGTATTTTGGTAAAAAGCGATGTACTAATCAGTCTATTAGGACAGCAGCACCTATCCTAACAGCTTGTTTAAGGCCTAAACATAAAAAATAAAGCAGTCTAGCACTAAACTGTATCCTAAACTGTCTCAACACCAGTGCCAGTGCACAGCTGACATACTGTGTAAAGCCCTTGACCTTAGGGTCACCCCCTTCATTAAGATAAACCTGCTCTGTTCTTGTTGCCAAGTACCACAACTAATCCTCACTCTTCACCTGAATCTTTCATAATAAGAGAAACACTGGACTTATGAAGCATTTACTAGCCCTTCCCCCAATAGTGACACAGAAAATGGCTTCCGGAAATTAATGTCATCAGCCTCTGATAGAGCAAAGCACACTTTAGTGATTTTTTTTCTAACAAAAAGTATGATGAGAATAAGTAGCCAACTTTGATTAGTGGCACTTATTAACTTGAAACGAATCACATGATGAGTTTTGGATTAGTCACACAATATAGACAACTTGACAATCCAAAYGACCTAGTTTTAAACTCATAAGAGTTTATTTGTCCGTAGCTGTACATACTGTACATTTAAGATTAACAATATGTTCACCATTTTTTATAACAAAAGTACTCGGTTAACTCGTAACTTGGTACTAACTGGGATAAATTGTGTTTTAAAGTTTGTGTCAGACACTGTTTATGACAGAAAACACTAATTAGACTTGTTAGCTAAAGGTTACAGGAACAAAAACAAGCTCAGTAGGTTTGTTTCGGGACAAAAAAAAAAGCAAATACGCGTATAAAAAGTAGCATCCGGCACTGTCGTGCAATAAATAAACATTTCCCATCACCAGAAGTCAGAAGATGCCAAACATTCAGCCTAATACTTAGCATGAGGCTAATAATATGGTCCCCACAGACAGGACTACCTGCATCTTTTACCGTAAGGTTTCGGCTAGGAGAGGCTAGGCTAGTTAGCTCTGAAACCTTTTCTTTTTGCGGATATCYCAGTTAACGCTCACTTTAAATGTCACACAAGCACCGAGCGCAGTTAATCAACACGTAAAGTGATTTTTCCCGACATCGAGCATCCTCACCTCTTGTCTTCTTTTAGGCCCAAACCATTCTAGCTGTTGGAAAGCTCCTTTTCTCTTTGTCTTTTTTCCACTTCCAATTACACGCAAAATGGACCCAGCGAAACGCTTTAACACTGAAACACTAAAACCAAACAGACGGTCTTCGTGTTCCCCTCGCGACTCGGCTGTACCTGGAGCAGAAAACAAGGCGAAATCATTTTCTTTCTGGCTTAATGTTATTACTCTAAAATAGAAGTGGATAGGTAAGACTGCTAGCTAAGTTAAGCAGCCAGCAGGTACAACAGACAGGACTGGATGCTGCGTTCACTGGCAGTTGGAAATATGTCAAACCTACCATCTCAACAAGTACTGGATAAAAACTACACAAACGAAAATGAAACATTGCTTTGTGTTTCTTTTCTTCTTTAGTCTAAACATCAGATTGTTTAAAACAAAGCCATGTTCATTTGGAATGCTGTTTTAAACAGTGCTGATCTGTAAACATTATCTCCAGATAATTGTTTCAAGAATGCCAGACATTTTTGTAATTGTTTAGTCTTTAGTCTCCAGGCTTAGTCACGTATTTCTTACAGCACTGGCTGCTTTCTCAAGCTTAGAACTTGTGCTCAATAGTTTTTCAGACAATGTACTATTATTTTAAAGATACCAGTGTTGTTGTTTTTTTTTTTCAATTTACCTGAGTGAATTTAAAAAAACATTTGAACCATTTTAAATGTTTTCTTTTTTTTTGCTTGAAGTGATGCATCATTTACTCCTATTTCTCTAATTATGTTAAGAAAAAAATGCTAAAAAAAATAAGTTTGACAGTAATAAAATAATTGGTCTTGTGCCGCAGCCCATAGGGCTAACAGCTAAGGTATTCACATTTGCACAGTGTGAAAAGAAAACCAGACAAGTTGAAGATAAAAAGGAACAATATCAGATAGTCTTCTAGAAGAATTATATTTAAAACTGTGCATGATTGCCTCAATATATAACAGGGGTAAAGATGTGCCCAAAATCTAATGAAACCTTTTGAAATGTTCTGTTTGTGTTTTCAGAATAAAAGGTGGCCTTTGCAAATATCAATTTTTAGAACTTGTAATAAATGTGGAATTTTGGTTTTGTCTATTTAAACACATTTTTAATCATATTTAGGCGTTTTTAAATAAAATGCTGCACCTTTATTATGGCTAGTTACAAAGGATACTCATAATTACCACTGTATTTGAATGCAACATTTCAGTGACGCAAAGGTTGTCCGTATTTGACGCACAGTGGGAAATCAGGCACGTCTCATCCCTGCTGGTCAATGATAGCATGGTTTAAAAGCAGACGAATTCTGTTTTTACATAATTGGTTTTAATCTAAACACACTTGACTTGTTTCAAGTCCATTACCAGCTCAGAGGCATTCAAAGTAAATGTATTTTTTTGKGTATTRAAGGCTYTCATTGCTCATCTATTAGTCCCAAAGCTGCATTTTGCTTCAGTGACAAAAYCATATTTTACACTGCATCAAATAAAATAAAATCATTATTCARGTGTTCATTTATTCAGTTAAGATAATTCATATAATCAATAAAACATTTAAAAAACTATTTAAGCCTGGCAACCAGTCTAAGCTCTGAAAATACAAACATAGGATGATAAATTCATGAACGCTTGAGCTTCATTTTATTATTAAATGTGTCAAACAAATACAAAATCTAAAGGCCCTAGAACAAAAACAATCCCAAGTTTATTTATCATAAAAGATACTCGTCGCAAACTATAAAATATAACACAAAAATGGTTGTCCTGAATCAAAGGTTGCAGTTTTAAAGTGTTCACTCCAGTTTTCCAGATATGCAATTTTGAAATGCAGGTACACACTCACTGTATACAAAGCATCTTACCTGCATACTTTACTCAACAAGTTATAAATATGCACAGCTACATCAAAATCGTCCGATTTCTTGACCCCAAATGGCTCCCCATTGATGTCCACTGTTAACACTGGTTAACAGATGCATGTGATATATGGCAGGTGTTTACAAATTTGGCAAATACTTTTTTAAGACACATCAATGAGGAAAAAATAAATGCAAAGATTTAGCTTCTTACTTTATTAGTTTTTTTAAAAAACCCAACTAAACCTTTTAAATTGTCCTCTTAAGAACACCTTTCTGTTTTGCTTCTTAAATGTTACCCGTTTGAAACTTGGCAACACTTTATAAAAGTACTAAAATCATGATTTAAATTGAATAATTCTATTTGTTTCAGCTCATTTTTAAAGTTTATTCCTCTTACAGAAATACAAACGTAAGAATATGTTATATTAGTAGAAGTAACAGAGAGAAAAAGAAGGAAAAAACAGAACTCAACACTGCTGAAAACAGTCTGCTCCTTCGTTTTCATAGTCCAGTATCAACAAGCCTGTCCAGCTGTTCTATAAATTCACTTCCAACCAACGGTGAGGGTGGGAAAAAAAATAAAAATAATAAGAAGAAAACAAGCAGTGCCTAGAAAACCCACTCATCCCAGCATGCTTATTTCTGTTTTTTCCTCTTCCTTGGTGGTCCTTGATCTGAATCACTGCTGCTTCCTGAGTCTGAGCTGTCTGAGGATGAAGAGGAGGAGGAGGAGGAAGAGCTGTCGCCGTCGCTGTCACTGCTGTCGTCTGAAGACGAGCTGGAGGATTCGCTGCTGTCTGACGATGAGTCACTGGAGGAGCTGTCCGAATCGCTGCTGCTGTCGTTCGAGTCTTTCGCCCTGAGAGCGGAGGGGCAGAGCGAACGAGTGAGAACAGGAGCAAACAAAACGCAACAGGGGCCAGAGTTTTAAGGTTTGACCCTCAATCTGCCCCCGCCTTGTGTCAACTAGGGTGGTTATTGTGGAGTCATCTCACAGCATGGAAACATTTTGTAAAATGCCTCTTTACATTATCCAGAAAAACAGCCAAAACTCATCTAAAACTCATCTAAGTCCTCTCATGTGTTACCTCATCTGAGGTAACACAAGATAGAGGTTTTACACTCATTTGTATTTGTAGTCATTATTATTTCCACTAGTTTCTTCTCTGTTATATAAACATTTTCTGTTCTGATAAAAAGCTAAAAATAAAGAAATTAACGGCAACATGACATGAGTAGAGAGTTAAGTACGTTCAGTTCTTTAAAACCAATTTATGAGCATTTATGATTCATTGCAATTCGTTTGATGGTCAACTTGAATCCTGGAGGAGTTTACCGATAAAGAGGGGATTGCTAACAGGCCAGGAATCTAAAGTAACACTTGTACACAGATTGCATTAATGGTTCAGAAAGTACTCTTCTTGACATAAACTAAAAGTGTTTTACAGATTTTATTTACACTTTATACAGCATTTGAATTGTCCTTGACATTGAAAAATAAATAAAAGGATAGACAAATAAAAAATATATACATATTGGAAATGACAAATACCCAAGGAGATGAATATTTCTGTTGTTTCACCACTAAAAACTTTGGCACTTCAGGCCAAAGTTGTGTTTTCATGAATGTTGCAGGAGCTGACATATTGTGACTTAATATTTAGAAATCATGAAAAGCATATTCTGACTAAAGCCACTGCTGCATCAAGACAGCATATCAATTTTAAAGTGTTGGGTCAAACATGAAGCATTCAGTACAAACAGATTCATTTTCTCAGACAGGTTGCAGCTGCAGAGGTGCACCACTAGGTGGCACTGTTGCATCACATGTTCTAACATTAACCAAACAGCTGCCAATGAACAACATTTTGTTGTGAGTTTTAGGGTGTATTCAGACCAGGAAAGTCCTTTGGTCCAATTGTTTGGTCCGGACCAAAAATACACTTTTTTTTTCGTTTGGTGCGGTTTGCATTCACATTGTGCTTTTTTGCAAATGAACTATAACTTGTAAACAAAGCCAAGAGTGTGACAATCATTGCTCCCATTGGACAAAAAAGGACGGGGGCGGGACTGAGCCACAGACCCAGAAGAAAACAAGGAAGTCCTGCATGCTGTGGTTCTGATGTGTAATTTTTGCTGATAGTACAACTGCAATAGMATTTAAAATGTCAGAAGCAGCTAAWTTAATGGTGGTTCTGTGATGATATTCTAATTTTGGAGCGACGTCAGTAAATGTGTCCCGCAACCCAAAGGAGACGAGATGCTCTGTGTGTTCTGACCCACAACATGCTGCCAGCAGAGCTAACAGGAGACGATGAAACAGGTATGATTTCAGTTTATTTAGCTCAGCAACGGTGGCCTGTGAAGTCCAAAAAGGTGCATGTTTAATGCAGTTAGTTCGGTTAGAGTCCGGTCTGTATTCACACCAGAAGAGAACTGAAGCGAACTGCACCAGAGTTCGTTTGGAAGTGGACCGAGACCACCTCAAAAACCAGGTCTCGGTCCAGTTGTTTGATCCGCACCAGAGTTCACGAGTGTATTCACACCTGCACAAAAGGTCCGGACCAACGCTGGAAACGAACTCTGGTTTGTTTAAAGCGGAGCAAATTATCAGGTCTGAATACGACCTTAATGAATATACTTCAGTCACTGCAACATTTTTGCACAAGTTACCTGATAAATCAAAACCGTTTAAAACATTGAAGTACTTCTTTGTTCTTATTTTGATAGTTAATACATTGTGTTTTATGAAAAAAAGTAGATTAACACAGCATCCGAATAAATCATAAATATTCTATGAAACCTTAAACAACTTAACTGTACTGGTCTGTACAAAAAATAAAAATAAATAAATAAATAAAATAAAATGGACGGATGGACCTTAAACAACTCAGTATGAAAAGTAATGAAATTAATTTATTATATATAATTTAGATAAAGACTATGTGAACTCTATAGAAACAGTTTTGTTTAAATCTCAAAAAGTACAAAAACTTTACTGAACAACAACAGACTTACAGTACGACAGCCAAACTCTGTTTTGTCTGAGTCTATAAAACTCTTATTTTATTTATAAAATCAATAAAAAAACATTAGCCAGCAGCTATAATGACAAGGCTGCTCTCAGTGCTATGAAATAATTGGCAGCCAACACCAAGGGACTACCTCCAAATAGCAGCTCACTTACTTATTTTTTGTTTTCTTTTCACTGGAATCTTCTCTTCCTGGTCTGTGAAGAGAAACATAACAGTGTCAACAAACATAAAGAAAGAAAGAAAAATGAGACTTTTTTTAATTTTAGAGAGATTTTTGTTAGAAACTCCCGTTTCTGTTCCGTGATGTGTTTTTATTTCTTTTACTATTTTAAGCACATTACTTTGAACAATGGCAGATTTTGTTTTAAATGTGTTTTATAAATAAACCAGACCTGACTTACAAAAATTGGTAACTCCTTAGCATTAATAGAAAGTATAAAACCTATTTCACAATCGAAGTTGCTAAAACAGTGTCTTAAGTCGTAAATAATTATCAATAGCTTGACATGTGTTAGTTGATTGGCATTTATTTAGTATAGTCTCCGTGTTTAAGCTGTTTTTTCTCTTGAGGACACACAGAGAAAAAACAAGTTCATTTGTCATTTTTCTCAAGACATTACAGTCAATAAAAATGAATCAATAGACAACTTACCCTGTGATGCTGAGAGGTTTGTCTTCTATCTCCTTCAGCTTCTTTTTCATCTCCACAGTTCTCGACGGTCTGTGCAAATATTTCCGTTTCCCCGTGCACTCGTAGGTCCAGTGACCCATTTCCAAACACTTCTGGCAGCGTACATTTTGTTTGTTTGCCTCCCTGCAAAACAAATGTTACAACCTTTTCAGATATATTGTTTTGTTGTCATGAAAATTTAACTGAGTTTTTATTGTTCCTAGAAAGAAACAAACAAAACAAAAAATTGTTCAAAATAAAGTGTAAAAAATATTGTTTCGATTTTATTGTTTCCACTGCGATCATTCTACACCTCACTTATTTGGCTTTATGTGTGTGAAAACTTAGGATATCTTTTCTGATTTGTTAATAGGAACAGAAAAAAATCTACTTGTGACCATGAACATCTTTTGAGTTCATTTTTTAAAGGTTCTTGTCATAGATTGAGAAACACAGGTGTGCGTTTACAATGGTGACTTTAATGAGCCACTGCCAGCAGCTTTATCGAGGTTCTCTCTAGTCCTCTTATAAAAATTAATAATTATTTATTTCGTAATATTACTATAAAACTTATGTTGGAATTTTGGTCAGTAGAGGCATTGGGATCTATCAAAATGTCATCAGAAGTTCTCTAGCCTCGCTTAAAACAGATAAACGAGTATTTTGACATCTATTTAAGTTAAATGTTAAGTTTTACTTTGTTTTAAATTAATGAGTTTTGTTGCTCTAGCGTCTATATACAATACTTTACTTCAACCTGCGTAGTTCAAATGTGCTTATGACGTTGACTTAAACTAAAAGACCTTTACTAAAAAAGCTTAATGCCATTGGCAAATAATTTATTCGGTGCAAACATGAAGCTGTACATTAATCGCATTAACCCGCTACATATGAGGTGAAGTTCGACAAAATGACAGGCCGAAGGTGTTAATACAAAAATTATAGTAAAAAAAAAATACTAAAATTACACGGTTACACTTTTTTATTAATGTTTTACTTACGCTTGTCTTCTCGCTATTATCCTGTGCATGGGAGTCGCCATGTTGAATTTCACTTCTTCTTCGGTGGTTGGATTAATGTTCATTTCCGGAAAGGCTAGGAAGCGAGCAC